TGGTGCACTCATAGTTAAAAGAAAGACACCTGTCAAATGGGACAACAAAAGATGGTGGTCACCAGGTTTACATGACAATATTTTAGAAAGGGATAGGCTATACAAGAGGGCTATGATAACACAGCAGGAAGAACATTGGGTGAGCTTTCGACAACAAAGAAATAAAGTTGTTCAATTAATAAGACAACAAAAGCAAGTATGTTACGAACAAAAAATAAATGATGCCAAAGGAGATTCAAAGGCTATGTGGAAAAGTTTGAAGGATATCATAGGCAATGGATTGGGAAGTAGAAATATGGAAGGTATTGATTTCGATGAAACTATTTACAAAGAAAGTGAGACAATTGTAGAGAGTTTTAATAATTTTTTTCTGAACAGCATGAATAATTTGGCAATTGATATAGATGCCATACATATGGAAAATACTTTGAATTATATACCAACTCCTACAAATAGCTTTAGAACATTTAAAACAGTTCAAATGAAGGAACTAAGAAATACAGTTAACAATTTAAAAAATAAAAATAGCAGTGTTGACGGAATTAATACCAAAATCTTGAAATTGGCTTTTCAAGTCATAGGCCACCGCTTTCTCCAGCTTATGAATTCCAGTATGGAAACAGGATGGTTTCCCCAGGATTGGAAAATGTCAACAGTCATCCCTATAGAAAAAGTGAGCGGAACAATAAAATGTAAACAGCATAGACCAATTAATATGGCACCTGTATATGAAAAGCTTCTAGAAATTGTTGTCAATCAACAATTACGTCAATACGTAGAAGAAAATAAATTACATACAGAATATGGGTTTGTGTTTATCGACTTTGGGAGAGCATTCGAAACAATAAATAGAAATTTGTTGATAACAAAACTAGAAAAATATGGCTTTGGAGGCAACGTTTTTAGATGGTTCTCAGGATACTTGGAACAAAGAACTCAGCGAACAAAGTACAAAAACTCCGTATCTTCTGTAAGAGAAAATAGGCATGGTGTGCCTCAGGGAACAGTGTTGGGTCCTGATCTATTCGTGCTGTATATAAATGATATTGTAAACGCTGTAGAAAATTGCAAAATTCAGTTGCAGACAATACAATTTTGTTCATGGAATGTGCCAACATAGACAATTTGGTTAAAATGATTAATGAAGACCTAAAGACAATATATGCCTGATTAGGGAACAATAGTCTTAGTATTAATGTTGACAAGATTAAGTGTATGATACTGAAATCTTAATTTAATGTTCAGGATGCTTATCTGCACGACGGATTTATAATTGAAAATAATAAGATTAAACAGATTAACAAAAAAGGAATATTTAGGAGTTATGATAGACTCTAATTTAACATTCAATAGTCATGCAGATCATATAAAAAAAAGTTTCTAAAAAAGTTAATTTAATGTGTAGGGTAAGGACCTTAATTCATGAACGTCACTACTCATGTATAAAACAATAGTCATGCTTCTACTACTGTTCCTCCTCATTATATATGTTTCAGAAGGGTGATATAGATTCACTACAGAAAAAACAAAATCAGGCTCTTAGATGTATACTAAGTGACATATAAATCCGAACACCCAGTTTAAATGGTTTTATTTTAATAAAAGTTGGTGAATGTATTTATCTTACTGTAAATAACAAGTGAAAAAATTTTCAGCCTTATCAGTTGGACATTCCGGTTTTTATACTGCTTTTTTTTCATTCACTAACGCTCTAAAAATGAATATTTCAGCCGCAGTAAAGAATCAACGTTGGCGGATTTTGGTTCTTGACATCCTTTACGATCGGTTACGATGCCTAGAGTACGGAGACCTGTACGATTTCGTCAACTTAGTGAGTTTGATAGGGGCCGTATAGTGGGACTTCGGGAAGCTGGACTTTCTTTTCGGGCAATTGCAGTTAGAGTGCAAAGAAGTGTAGATACTGTGGTTAGGTGTTGTCAGGCATGGCTTCGAGAAGGCCGTACGCAAAGAGCAAGGGGCACTGGACGCCGCCGTAGAACAACAGACCGTGAAGATCGCCGCCTAAGATTATTGGCCTTAAGGGACCGTTTCTCCACTACCAGATCCATTGCAAATGAATGGTTTGCAGAACACGGAAGACCTATTGGCATGCGAAGTGTTTGCCGACGAATAAGAAGTTTTGGCTTGTTTTCATACCGGCCACACTGGGTCCTCCCTTTAACTCGAGAACACCGACGTAATCGCCTTGAGTGGTGCAGACAACGGTCACTCTGGGATCAGGAATGGAACAGTATTGTCTTTAGTGACGAGTCTCGATTTTGTTTAGGCATGCACGATGGTCGTGCCAGGGTTAGAAGGCGACGTGGTGAAAGGAGGAATCCACAGTTTTTTGTTGAAAGACATGTTCATCACACTGTTGGAGTTATGGTTTGAGGTGCTATAGCTTATGGTTCCAGGTCACCTTGAATCTTCATCAGAGGTAACATGAACGCGCAGCGTTATATCCACGAAGTTCTAGAACCCCATCTTTTACCCTATCTTGACACCCTGGCAGATCCAACTTTCCAACAAGATAATGCCCGACCACATGTTGCAAGAGTCACAATAGACTTCTTTCAACATAATGATGTCACATTGTTACCATGGCCACCAAGATCTCCCGACTTATCCCCAATTGAGCACGTGTGGGATGTGATGGGTAGGAGATTGCTCAATTTGCAACGTCCTCCTCAGACTCTAGAAGCACTTCGAGAGAAGTTGGTGGTTGCCTGGAATGAGATACCACAGGAGGACATTGACCACCTGATCAGAAGCATGCCTAGGCGCGTTGGAGAATGCGTAGCACATCAGGGTGCATCCACACATTATTAAAGGTCAAAGGGCTTTAAAACAGTGCAATCATTTTGAAATTTTTATCATTTACTTATTATGCTTCATTAAGTACTTATACAAAATTTTATTAAAATAAAACCATTTAAACTGGGTGTTCGGATTTATATGTCACTTAGTATATATTAAGATGTAATAGGTACACAAGAATTAAGGACATGTTAGAAGTAACTAATTTATTAAGTATCAAACAAAATATATTTTACAATACAATGATAGTCATCAACAAAATAAAGAATGGAATGTATCCCGAACACATATTGGAAGGTTTGCAATTTATCTGTGATATTCATAGTTACAATACAATGAATAGGTTTGATTTTTATGTTCCTGCTGTGGGGTCTGCTTTTGCGCAAAATAAAAAAGGCCTTAGAGATTTTAATCATTTACCAGCTGAAATCAAATCTACAAATTTTGTCACATTCAAAAGACAGTTGAGAATTTATGTAGAAAATAGTGAAGAACATATCAGAAGGTTATAAATCCCAAAATAGTCCTTATTTGTTCATTGTTCCTTAATATCTTTCAACTACATTGCATTTGTATATGATAAAGCAACTATCTAGAAGTATTTTATAGAAACAATGAACAAATTATAATCTTATTTGTACATGCAGCTGAAGACCACAGATGAAAAGGTTCGTTTTTTTTTAAGTTTAAGAAAAGGGGGACCCTTTTATATAGGTAAGTTTTTGTTAATTGGGAGATCAGTCCAAAGCCTCCTTAAGTTTGTCGTGGTGCTTATTGGACACCCTGTATAGCTATTATTATTTGTCAATGTATGTCCAATGTGATGAACAATAATTGTAATAAAATTCTAATACATATGCACGTGCAGATGAATGAATGACGAATAGCAATTGTCCGACACAATGCCGACTGCACCACGTCTACGTAATCTGGGAACTTCTATGTCCTTATTTGCCTATGAATCGGAATGTGCAGAAGCCGTAGCCAATTTTATGACCTCAACTTCGTCATGTTCCTCCACACTCTTCAACAAAAACAGAGGCTCCGTGATCATAAATTGGTTCTCACATTTCAGTCCGCATGTATTTGAACAATCAGTTATTTCTTAATTTGCCTGATTTAAAACGTAAGCATTGGTAAATCTTGCCGCTTCGTCAATGCCTCACGAGCATCTTAAGAGGTTAATACTACACTATAACTATCTAAAACTGTAATGACTCATCCATGTTCACGTGAACATCACTTAACTACCATTAGTCGGCTGTTCATAGGCGGGGTATGAATGTTTAACATGGGTGAACTAGATTTGTCACACGCTTAATAAAGAGTGGTTTGAAACATATTGTAAGTCAAAAATTTGGGAATTACCTTTATTCATCGTCGCTTCCACTTACATCTGGCAGTAATAAACTGTCGCTATCGCTTTCCTCGTTGAAATTGACTATAACTGGCTCTATGATGGTGTCAATGTGGTGGTCAAGCTGCCACATTTTTGTTTCTTCCTTCACAACATGACGGATAGCATTCTGCCAAGCTTCGGGCGTTAGTAGCTGTATGGAAGACTCAAGTAAAACCTTAACGTCTAGTAATTTGAAGGTTGTGTTATGGCGCGCAATATAACCCTTCATTTGAGCCCAGATGAGCTCTATTGGGTTCAGTTCACAGTGGTAGGGCGGTAATCACAGAAACCACAACAATAACAATCACACAACAATTCTTATAAAAACACACAATATGCGATCGCTCAACGAAACACGTTCCAATGCGTTGCCGACGCCTATGAGTCTGCCGGTCGAGGCGCGTCTTTGATTTCATTGGTTCTACCGGCGGAGAACAATCAGCCATTATTTCCATCTCTGTCTGTGCTGTTGACCACCGCAAAGCCACAGAAACGACATATGTCGTACGCTATACGGCTGTACTGGAAGGAAGCCGGGATCGAGCTCTGATCACGTGTTGATCACGCGTATGAGTCATTACAGTTTTAAATAGTTGTAGTATAGTTCATCAGACATCTCACGAGAAGTGAAGGCAAACCAAAACAAATGACGTCAAGTAGGTATTCATGCAACGCTTTCATCAGTTCGTAAAGGATCATGTTCGGTACCAGTTAGCCTTTCGAACAAGTATAACAAAAAAATTAAATGAATCCCAAATATTTCCCAAATATTTGGGATTCATTCAAATATTTGGGAGCCTATATAACATCTGACGGTTCAACAAAAAAAAGATATACAAAGCAGGGTAAAATGGCCATCCAGAGATTGAATTCCATTTTATGGTACTCCAAAATTAGCATTAACACGAAAGTTCAAGTTTATCACAGTATCGTGGAGCCAATAACTGCTTATGGGGCTGAATGCCGGCAGCTTACAAAAATAGAAAACCAGCTAAAAGCCGTTGAAATGGACTTCCTACGCCGGTCGTGTAGACTATCTAGGTTGGACCATATCCGAAACGATATGATCAGAGAAAGGACATGTGTACAAGATACCATTGTGGATAGAGTGGAAAGAAGACAACTAGTATGGTACGGTGATGTCATGAGGATAGCTGATGAAAGATGGCCAAGGAAGATGGTATCAATATCCCAACCAACAGAAGGAAGAGTGGTAGGCCAAAAACATCGTGGAGGAAAGGGATAGAAGAAGTCATGAGAAAACTAGAAATGAATGAAAGAGACTGAGAAAACAGAAGAGAATGGCGAGTGAAGTGCGAGAAGCGGTAGCAGCCGTAATATATATATATATATATATATATATATATATATATATATATATATATATAACTTGAGACGTGGTCATTGTCGTCTAGACCAGTTAGGTGAAAAATTAAAGCTTCCGCCTTTTATTGGGTACTTCGACAAAATTTACGCAAGGAGGACTCTTTATACTTTTTTAATCTCTCTAGCTTTCAATGGTCTTTGCCATCTTCATCAGGAGCTGCAATTACATTGATAAAAGTAGCAACAATTGTGTAAAATGAATTTAAATTAACTTACAGTAGTATGTGAGGATGTTGCTAAATGTTATTCACGTTAAGGATGAGTGAAACACCCATTTTCGTTCCACCATTCTACACGGACACTGCTAACCTTCGGCCATCTGTCAAAAGGTTCATCTTACTCATGATTCTATGCCCACCATTTTGTGCAATCATCAAGTGGCTTCACGATGTAATGCTTAACTTTCGTTTTAAATATTTTTTATCTGTTTTTAATTTGTTCTTGTCATACAGCCGTGTGTAGTTTGTATAATTTTGACCATTGTACCATGTATCCAGCTTTCACCATGTTACTGGGTGTTTCCCTCATCCTTAACGTAAATAACATTTAGCAACATCCTCACATACTACTGTAAGTTAATTTAAATTCATTTTACACAATTGTTGCTACTTTTATCAATGTAATTGAAGCTCCTGATGATGATGGCAAAGACCATTGAAAGCTAGAGAGATTAAAAAAGTATAGAGTCCTCCTTGCTTAAATTTTGTCGAAGTACCCAACAAAAGGCGGAAGCTTTAACTTTTCACCTATATATATATATATATATATATATATATATATATATATATATATATATATATATATATATATATATATATATATATATGAGTAGTGTCTTCTCACGTGTAATACTTTTTAATTTGTTCGTGTGGATTGATATTTTTAACATGTAACGAAGGTATCTGTCGTTTTTCAACAAGCCCAATGTTCCCGTCCTTTTGTTTTTATACTGATTACAAGTTCGATCTTCTCTAAGTTCGTTTTGAAACACCTTGTGGCTGCAACCTCACCGACGAGTAAGTTGTCTGACAATTTAAATCTGTCCTGATTTCTTTCCTAGCATCACAATTGTGTTTTCAGAATCCTGATGAAGGCTCATAGAGAATGCCGAAAGCTTGATTTTATGGTCAAAAGAGTCAACTTAAGCCTAAAAAATTTGCCAATTTCCCAATTAACAATTAATTGTATTTTATATATATATATATATATATATATACAGGGTGATTTTGAAGTTGAGTCATTAATTTTCAGATAATGATTGTAGAAGGAAGATAAACCAAAATATGTGTGTAATAATTAAAAAAAATAAAAAAAAATGTTACCTTGTTTTATAAAATATCCTCCCGACAAGTACTTCAGTGCGGACCTGTATTTGATCGTGCGGTCTTGGAGCACATACCCTCCCGTGTGAGGACTTAAGTCACCTGATTCACGAGCCCTTTGTACTACATTAACAAAGGCACTAGGGGTTGGTTGCACTCGATTGGGAAACCGATCCGCATAAATCCGTGTTGCCGTAGCAGCATTTTGTAAAATCAGAATCATGTCCACAAGTTCAGCATTTTCGTAAACATGTGCCATTTTTTATTTCGTTTGAGCCACGCAGAAACACCACTCACGCGTTACCGACTGACACATCGAATGAATACAACTGAATAAAATAAATGAATAAAACATCGTGATAAGCGTTTCAAATTCTTTCGCTTTTTTGTTTCCGATTATATCCGTTGTTGCCAAACACGAGCACATATTATTATTGAGACAGGGCGGTACTCAAACTTCTAAAGGGCTATAACTTTGTTACTTTAATTTTACCACAAAAATGTTAAAGGAAAAAACATTTCTTTTGATCAGATCTACTCACTGTTAAAATAAATGTCTCAACTTCGAAGTCACCCTGTATATATATATACAGGGTGACTTTGAAGTAGAGTCATTAATTTTCAGATAATGATTGTAGAAGGAAGATAAACCAAAATATGTGTGTAAAAATAAAAAAAAAATTAAAAAAAATTTTTACCTTGTTTTATAAAGTATCCTCCCGACAAGTATTTCAGTGCGGACCTGTATTTGATCGTGAAGTCTTGGAGCACCGGCATGCCGTCCATATGTGAGGTCTTAAGTCACCTGATTCACGAACCCGTTGTACTACATTAACAAAGGCACGAGGGGTTGGTTGCACTCGATTGGGAAACCGATCCGCATAAACATGTGCCATTTTTTATTTCGTTTGAGCCACGCAACAGACACCACAATTCACTACCGACTGACACTGACTGTATACAACTGAATGAAATAATTGTAAAAACATCGTTCCAAATTATTTCGCTTTTTTGTTTCCGATGCGATGAACCGATAAGGCGGATTATATCCGTTGTTGCCAAACACGAGCACATGATATTATTATTGAGACAGGGCGGTACTCAAACTTCCAAAGGGCTATAACATTTCTTTTGATCAGATCTACTCACTGTTAAAATAAATGACTCAACTTCGAAGTATAGGTGAAAAATTAAAGCTTCCGCATTTGGTTGGGTACTTCGACAAAATTTAAGCAAATGACTCTTTATACTTTTTTAATTCTCTCTAGCTTTCAATGGACTTTGCCATCATCATCAGGAGCTGCAATTACAATGATAACAGTAGCAACAAAAGTGTAAAATGAATTTAAATTGACTCAACTTACAGTAGTATGTGAGGATGTTGCTAATTGTTGTTTACGTATAGGATGAGGGAAATGTCCAGTAACATGGTGAGAGCTGGATAGATGGTACAATGGTCAAAATTATATAAAATATGACAAGAAGAAGTGTAAATAGATCTCGGTCTAAATTTATCAATATTAACAGGCATACATATAAAACGACGGGCAAACTGAACAAGCTATATTATTTAAAATCAACTTTCTAAAAATTAACCATTAGAGTGCTTCTTAAATATGAGCTTTATGAAAAGGGTACAAGAAAAGCACCTTTCTGTTACTACAGTAAAATTGATGTGAAACTAAAAATTATTCTAGCTATAAGTAACATAATTTAATTTTATTTTTGCTTACAAGGACGCATTTCGTTTATTGCCTGCCTGCCGCTACGTACAACCCGTTAGTTGCTCTCGTCTTTTGCAAACATTACCGGCTGCGCATTTGGTATTGTATAGAATACCTAGGCAACGTATAAAACAAATAATATTTCATACATTACTTACACGGTTTAGGTATTATATGCATTACCTAGGTATTGTATAGAATACCGGATTATACAGATTGCCGGTAAAATGTTTAAATGAATCACCTCCCCATGAGAGAAATACCTGCGGGCACACACGACAATATTAAGGGCTATTACCACCCATTATGAGAGTATTTTTGAGATCGTTAGAGATAATGAGAAAATTATCGTTAGTCATTTGAATGATTTGATCAACAACAACAAAATTTTAAAGGAACAAGATTATCACTCAGCCTCACTATAGATAAAATTATCTTAGAATAACAAGCCTTATATGAAATTATTAGCAATTTATAAACAGCCTTAACATTTGCAAGAATACATATTTTACATTCTGCAATCTTAGACTCAAATAGTGTTTTCTCAATTTTAGATTTTTTGTCCAAAGGTTACAGTAGCGAAAGAATTCCGAAATTTTGATCACATAATTGATTATTATTCTTTATTTTCAACTGATGTCACAATTTCTGATAATATCATGCTATTCAAAATTTATGCACCACTAATTTCGAAACCGTTTCATTATTTTAGTATTTACCCCATTTTTCAATCTAATTATACCCTGATCCCAAAATCCCAATACCTTCTTTTCGACTTGAAAAACCACTGGAATACAGACTACCTTTGCACAGAAGTCGCAAATAAATACTTCTGTAAGCACGAAGACCTACTAGAAGCAGATCCAAATTATTCAAAATGGCAGCAACAGATGTCCCCTAATAAGCATCCAGCAGTCAAAAAGTCTGGTACAGCAAATTTCCCCATCGAAAGTAATTGTCAATCCAAGGGAACCCACCACCGTTCATTCATCATTTCCAGAAGATGGCCTGATCGTTATTTCCCAACCAAGTGTCATCGATCTCCAGAGATGCAGTATCGAAGTTAATCAGCGGAAGTTCTATCCATCTGATTGTATAAAACAAGAAACAATTTTCCCGCTGCCAACCATGAGCCTGATTAACTTCACGAAGCAGAGCCTTGTTGATGTTTCAAAGTTCAACTTGAAATCGTGGAAGAATCTTCAAGTACTTCAACCAGAAGCCAAAGAGGAAGATCTTCAGTTCCAAGACCGCCCCATTGAGAAGACCAATCTAGCCATATTTTTATTATTAATCTCCACATTTATTGGCTACATCATTTACCAAATTCTAAAGAAGCTAAGAGAAGCAAGAAGACTTAGAGAAGAAGAAGCAGTTCCGGATTCGCAAACTTTGGATCCCCCCGTTTGCTCATCTTCGGCAGGGAGGAGTTATATAGCGAGAGCCCCTCGTATATCTTCCTAATTGGTGTACTTATATCTTATCTTTGTAAACAACCCCATAATATAAATTCTTGTTTGTGCCCTTTAGGCATCAGTTTACATCAGCTATTATTTTAGGTTACATCTATTAGTCAATCGCTTGTAAGCTCACGTAGTCTTAGGTTTGGTAACAAAACCATTGTTGCCTGAAACGATACTTGTACTTTAAGTAAATAAAGTGTATCAAATCGCCTGTAAAACGTTTTCAAAAAACGCAAACTCGCGACGCGATACCTAAATTGAAGCATGCCATGGAATACAATAAAACAAATACCTAATCAAAATATAATTATTGATCCTCAAATGGTCAATAGTTTGGCGTTGCTTTGAACAACTTCTGTGCCTGCCAAATGCCTAAAATTTAGGCCAAATTAAGTATTATACAAAAATCCCTTAAAGTTTTAGTTTTTCAAACTATTCGTTCTAGATTTTTTTTATCAGAATAAAATCACCCTTTTGGAAAATATTACAAAATATCG